ACATCGTTTGCCGGATAGAACTAAGGAAAAATACTCCTTGCTTTGGTTTTGCAAACTGTTTAACAGAGACTTTATAGACTTCATCTTCCGTGTATCCGGCTGGAGGGAACACGTGAATGTCCATGGAAGTCAGGATGTATTCTCCTCGAAATCGTTTGACAACCTTCTTAAATGATTTTCCAACTAAGCGCTGGCAGTTTCCGTAGCCAAACTGTTTCTTTGAGTCACTAATTCCTGATAATAATGATTGAAAAATGAATGAAAATCAAACCTAACGCATTTTGTTTCTGAGAGTCAGAAATCTCCCCTCCCTGCAATTCCCGGATAAAAGTCAAGTATCTGGGCAACTTTACACCTCCCTCCCCTCTAGGGGCGTTTTATTTTGGGTAAGGTGAGGGGTAGGTGTGCAGGTGTTCAGATACTAACATTGATCCCAATTCCCCATACCCCACCTTATCTTTTCTCACCTCATAACGCTTCATCTCACTTAAGTTAAGCTTTTTACTTCAACCCAAACCAGCACACTTTATCTTTCCTAACCCATTCCACCACCCATTCCACCACTCTTTCTTTAATTTGATGAGAACATATTTAGAGGCCTAGTGAAAATTTGTTTTGCATGGGTAATTAATAAGCTAATTCCAGACGGTTGCCCATCAAATAGAGAAAGAGCAAGGTGAAACAACGGAAAGTAACATACAGGAGACATCTTACCGCTCATGTATTGTTTTTGAATAGCATTGTTAATGTATCCCACAGCAAATTCTGCCAACCACATGTGATCGTTCGCATTGTCGTTTACTAGAATTGCTTCATCAAAACCTTCACATTTGCATCTTGTTAAGGGGAGCATGTACAAGTCTGCACATGTGCGATTTGCCGGAATCTCTGAAAATATTCCAGAAACTAAATAATCTTTCGAGTCCTTTTTCTGAGAATCATGCAAACTCATGAGTGCTTTGTGAACATCATACAACATAAAGAGGCGCTTTTGGTTTGTTA